GTCGATATTCTTACTCTCGGAAGCTCATAACTTATATTAAAAAATATCTAAAATTATCTAAATAAATTACTATCCATTAAAACCATTATATAACATCGAGATGTGTTGCCGCTAAGGAATCCGTTCGTACTCTTATTAATGAATAAATTAAAAAAAAATTCCATTTTATTATACTTAAAACTTAAAGAACAGGAATAATAAAAATAACTAAAAAAAAATAATTAATTAAAATTAATAATATTAGTTCTTTATTTAAAAAAAAAATAATAGCAATAATTAAAAATAATAAAATAACAAAATTTATTTTATAAAAAAAAAATAATAAAAATAATAAATAATAATACTAATATATAAATATAAATATAAAAATAAATTAATTTAAAACTAATTATAAATAATAAACTAATTTACTAATAATATAAAAATAAATACATAATAATACCACATCGATTATATTTTTAATTTTTCTAATTTAATTATATATTTAATCTATTAGATCTTTTAAATAAACCTATCACTAAATCATTTATTTTTTTAATAATCCTAATTTAGCACATAAAATTAAAAAAATTATTTTTGATAAAAATAAAAACACAAAAACAAATAAAAATAAAGATATCACTCTTTGAAAAAAAAAATAAATTACTAAACCAACACTTTTATTTTCTTTTGTTAAAATATATAATAAAAATAATAAAAATATAATCTCTATTAAAAATCAAACTACATAAACATTTACTAATCTTAATAAAACAAAAAAATTACAAAAATATAGAAACAACAATTAAAATACAAAGTATTGAGTAACAATCAATATAAAGATTTTAAAAAGAGATAAAATTCTAATTAGAGATTAGAGAAAACTCTTCATTTAAAGTTTTTTAAATCATGAAATTATCAAAGATTTAACAAATAAAAACAAAATTCTAATAATATTTTTTAAATCCTAAAACTAAATAACCTACTAATACTTTTATTATAAAAATTTAACTAAAATATTAAAACAATTATAAAAATCAAAATTAATTATTAAACATAAAAATTATTCAACAAAAATAAAACTAATAATTAAAAATAAAAATTAACTATTTAAAAATTTATAGTAATAATTAAAAATCAAATGATAAAATCAATATTAAATAAATCAATATTAATTTATCAAAACTCAAAATTCATAATTATAAATCAAAATTCATAATTAAAAATTACAATTAATTATTATAATAAAGATTAGTAATCAATAATATAATTAATTATTAAAAATTAAGATTAGTTATCAAAAATCGAAGTTAATTGTCAAAAATCGAGGTTAATTGTCAAAAATCGGGGTTAATTGTCAAAAAAACGTGATATCACGCAAATTTATAGTCTTAGTTTTTTTAAAAAATATCCATCATTTTAATATAATTAAACAATGAATAATTTTATATCTAAACATCTATTTTGCATAATCTCGCCTTCGACGATTATTAATTGTATAATAACAAGGGTAAACCTAATCAAATAATATATAAATTATAATAATCTATTATTATTTTTAGACATTGTTATTACTAATAATGTAGATATTTCAAAAAATACTAAAGACTTAAACGTAATATTAAAATATACATTTAAAAAAAAATAAATGATATTAGTGAATTAATTTATTTTAAAAATTTTTTTTCAAAAATTCTTTTCAATAAATTAATTATATTAATAATTTTAAGAACAAAAAATTTTTGTTTTTATATAATATTAATTTATATAAAATTTATTTTAAATTAAATTATAATTATTAATTCTATTATTAAATCTTAAGAGAAAAAATATTTTCAATTAACCAATAAATAAGATTTTTCTTAAAAAATTTTCTACATATATATAAGAATTTTATACCAGACAGCTACATACTTTAATAATTCTAAATCATGAATTTACGCTAAGTTAAACTCATTATCAACTAGTAGGTTCCAATTTTTAAATTCTATACATATATGTCAGTGAGTTAAACAACCATGTTTTTTTTTTTTTTTAAGTCTAGGATCTGCTCTGAGGGCACCCTCGTCGATATTCTTACTCTCGGAAGCTCATAACTTATATTAAAAAATATCTAAAATTATCTAAATAAATTACTATCCATTAAAACCATTATATAACATCGAGATGTGTTGCCGCTAAGGAATCCGTTCGTACTCTTATTAATGAATAAATTAAAAAAAAATTCCATTTTATTATACTTAAAACTTAAAGAACAGGAATAATAAAAATAACTAAAAAAAAATAATTAATTAAAATTAATAATATTAGTTCTTTATTTAAAAAAAAAATAATAGCAATAATTAAAAATAATAAAATAACAAAATTTATTTTATAAAAAAAAAATAATAAAAATAATAAATAATAATACTAATATATAAATATAAATATAAAAATAAATTAATTTAAAACTAATTATAAATAATAAACTAATTTACTAATAATATAAAAATAAATACATAATAATACCACATCGATTATATTTTTAATTTTTCTAATTTAATTATATATTTAATCTATTAGATCTTTTAAATAAACCTATCACTAAATCATTTATTTTTTAAAGCAATTATTATTAAATAAAAATATTATATTATTAATTATTAGACTCTCTTTTATATTTTTTTTTCTAGAATAAAATATTAATACAGAAAAAAAAATATGAGAGCAACTTACGAGATCAAATAAGCTATAAAGTCTAAGAAGGATTGATTATGAGAGTACTATTCAATTTATAAAAAAGGTGATTCGAAGCAAAGTAAACTTCGCTTCTGCGAAAGCTTAAAATATAGTAAAATTACTTCGGCGCAATCACCTTTTTTATTCTACTCATCTTAATCTTCCGAATAATCATTCAATAAGTATTCTTACTGTAACTAATGTTAAAAAAATTACAATATTTAAAATAAAACCATTTCACCATATTACTATGGGTGTAACAGATATTAAAATTAATTCTAAATCTAAAATTAAAAAAATAATACAAAATACAAAAAAACGTAAAGATACAGGGAATACTCTTACATTAAATGAATCAAATCCGCATTCAAAAGCATCATTTCTTATGAATTTAGATCTTATTATTATTCTTCCTACTAATATTAAAGTAGGAACAATAACAGAAATTATTAAATAAATTATTATTATTCACATTAAAAACCTCACCAATAAATGAAAATAAATAAAAATAATCAAACCACATCTACAAAATGTCAATACCAAGCTGAAAACTCAAAATTATAATGGGATAAAGCATCACAAGTCAAAAGAATTATGCGAATTAAACTACCTAAAATTAAAGCGCACCCTAATATTACATGGAACCCATGAAACCCAGTAGCTAAAAAAAAAATTCTCCCATAGCCTCTTCTTATAAAAGTATAAGTAGCATCTATATACTCTTCATATTGTACAAACAAGAAATACACCCCTAAAATTAAAGTTGCTGTTAAAGTTACTACTCTAATATATCAATTATTATTTAAAATAGAAAAATGACTTCAAGTAATTAACACACCAGAAGATAATAAAATTATAGTATTTAATAAAGGTACTCTAAAAGGATTAATCCTTTGAATGCCTTTTGGAGGTCATACTCTTCCTATTTCTAAATCTACAGCTAACACAAAATCAAAATAACATCAAAAAAAAGAAACAAAAAACATTACTTCTGAAGTAATAAATAAAATTATTCCTGTTTTAAAAAAAATATTTCTTAAACTTCTGTGCTCTATTAATAAATCTCTTTCACGAGAGACATCTTTAAATCAATTTAAAATTACTAACACTACAATTAATAATAATATATTAAATCCTACTTTTATAGATAAATATAAACTAATAAAAGAAATCAATGCTGCTATTCTTATTATAATTGGTCATAACCTTAATCTTAATACATGAAATACACTAACCATTATTAAAATTTCTTTAGCTTAAAAGGCTAAAACTTAAATTAAGCTTTTTTAATATAATAAATCTTTTAATCTAACTACTTCTAATACAATTGGTATAAAAGAATGATTAACACCACAAATTTCTCTACATTGACCATGAATAATAGAATGCATTATCACTATAAAAACAAACTGATTTAAACGACCAGGAATAGCATCTATTTTTACACCTAAGGCCGGTAAAGCTCAAGAATGTAAAACGTCAGCCGAAGTAATTAAAGCACGAATATATTCTTGTGCCGGAATAATTACGCGATTATCTACATCTATTAAACGAACAGAAGAATCAGCATCTATATAAGAATCAATTTCTATATTTAATAACCCATCTATTTTATAACTTCAGTATCATTGATGACCAATAACTTTTAATGTACATAAAAATTCAACTCTAGACTCATCAATTAAATAAAGTAAATAAATTGAAGGATAGACTAAAAAAATTAATACTACAATAGGTAAAATAGTTCATACTCTCTCAACTAAGTGATCAGCAACAATTCTTCTCGAATAAGTTTTAGTTATTAAAACAAAAATTAAAAAATACCCTACTACACTTAAAATAATAGCTATTACTATTATTAAATAATCATGAAAATAAACAATTTGCTCTATTGTAACTCTTAAAGCATCTTGCAAAGATAAATTACCTCAAAATATCATTATATTTATTTTCCAATAAATACACTATGTTACGACTTACTTTAAATTAAAGCTGACGGGCGATATGTACTTTTAAAAAATAATTCAATTAATTATCTAATTTACTAATAAATTCATCCTCAAAACTATCCTTTATAAAAATCATGCAACTCATAAAACTTAAAAAATAATTTATGTGTATCTGAATAAACAAATATAACAAATTTTCATCGAACATACAAAATTAAAAAATTTTAATACTACATTTAATGCGGTATTTATTTAATTCACAAGTTTCTTTATTATAATTAAACCGCCAATAAAAAAATTTTTTATATACTCATTATTTTACTTACTAGGGTATCTAATCCTATTTTTTAAAAAAATTTAACATACATAAAGAAAAAATTTAACCTTAAATCTTTTTTATCAAGTTTAAACATTTAATATATTTATTTTATTCGTATAACCGCAATTGCTGGCACGCTATTAATCAAATAAAAATAAAATTCCTTTGTATTTTTATATTAATATTTTTTATTTTATCTAAAAATATGGAAAAATATCAAGAGTATGAATCTCGCAGCTTTATTAGCTTAAATCCACAGAATAATCTTAGATTTTGAAAATCTACAGTAAAATCCTTATCTAAACCTTGTTGGCGAAAATAATACATGCGAAACACCTTAAAAAAATATAACAAACTCTTGGCTTCTTCAAAGCCACACTTTTAAAGCTTACATTATTAAAAAATAATAATTACTAATACCATAACTCATCAATTTATTAATAAAATATATTTAACATTAGACAATGAAACAGTGTATTCTAATACAGACAACATCGTTGAATAAATAAATTGATCCAAAGCGTATCAATTATAAAACCATAACTCAACTATATTCAGTCATTTTCTGTATATACCTCATTTAAAATTTAATTTAGTTAATACTCTTAAAATTAAAAACCCTAAAATAAATAAATAAATCATTATTTTATAAGATATTAATTCTAAAGAAACTCTAAACACTATTCTAATAAAGACATTAATAATTCTTACACTAACAATTACTATAATTAATAAACCTGTTATTCCTGAAACTTGTAATTCAACTATATTTAATACATATATAGAATTATATAAACTTAATAATTTTATAGAATAATAAATTCTAACACTTAAAAAAAGTAATAATAAAAAAATATTTCTTATTTCAAAATTAATTTCCATTGCTTTTTCAATAATAAAATCCTTAGAAAAAAACCCTCTTAAAAAAGGCAAACCTATTAAACAAAAACAAGCATAATAATAAAATATTTTAATAACAGGTGATAAACTTATATACGAAACCAATCGTTTATCTTGTCTATGAAAAGATCTTAATATGGTGAATCCAAAACATATAAATATTAATGATTTAAACATAGCATGTACAACTAAATGAAAAAAAGTAATTTTATATAATTGTATTCTTATTAAAAATAACATTAAACCCACATGTCTTATTGTAGAATAAGCAATTAATTTTTTTATATCAAACTCATTAATTAAACCAAATAATCTCACAATTAAAGTTAAAACTCTCAAATATTTTAAAATATTTAATCTTTCTATTAAACAATAACTATACTGTAATAAAATATAAACCCCCGCAACAACTAATGTAGACGAATGTACTAAAGAAGAAATAGGAGTTGGAGCCCTTATCGCAGCTAATAATCAAGCATTAAAAGGAAATTGAGCTCTTTTTACACATGCCCCTAGTATTAATACTAACAATCCTGATTTTAAAACAATATTAGAATTTAATGAAGTTGTAAATATAAATAACATAAAAATAACAAAAAACAAATCCCCTAAACGATTTTGAAACAAAGTTAACAAACCTGATTTTAAAACAAAATTAGAATTTAATGAAGTTGTAAATATAAATAACATAAAAATAACAAAAAACAAATCCCCTAAACGATTTTGAAACAAAGTAAATAGACCATTAGTCACTCTTTCATAATTTATATAAAAAACAATTAATAAAAAAGAAACAACCCCTAAGCCATCTCAACCAAATATTATTCAATAAAAATTATTATTTAAAATTAACCAAAATATCCTTAAAACAAATAATAAATATAATAACATAAACCTTTGAACAGAATACACACTTATGTAAGAAAAAGAAAAAAATAATACTCTAATCGTAATCAATAAAACTATTATTAAAAATATAAATCTTCATATGTTTAATACTAATTCTAAATCCCTAAAAAAATTTAAATTAAATAATTTTAAACTTACTACTATTATTCCTTTATTTAACAAAAAGACTATTATAAATATTAATAATAAAATAATTAACATTATTGTTACTACATAAATAAACACTATTAAAAAATTCGAGTAACCACAATACCCAGTGTCATAACACTTACTTAATTAAAAATTTAAAAATACCACTCATAATAAAAAAATAAAAACATCTAAACTATAAAAATTAATTTTAAATACATAGCCCACAGAACCCGAAAACGCTCAAAAAAAATAAATATTATAATAACAACTAAACAAAACACCAAGAACAAAAATATATATCATAAATTTAATTATTACTAATGATTTCAATATTAGAATCTCTCTTAAAAAACCTATAAAAGGCGGAAATCTCATATTTATAATTCTTAAAATAAAAATTAAAAAAAAAAATAAAAAAGAAATAGATATAAATTTTACAACAAATAATGAACGAGTTTTTCATCACGCTAATAACCCAACTAATCAAAATATTAAAGGAGAAAGAAACCCATGATAAAACATTATTAATAAAGCCCCTTTTTTTGCCACAAAAGACCCTAATATTATTACATAAAAAACTATAGACATATGCGCAATAGAAGAATAAGCAATTATTATTTTTAAATCTCTTAAACATAAAATTAACAGTATTACAATTAAAACCCTAATTCTTAATCAATGTAATTTAACTATAAATTGAATATAAACTACGACATAAAATAATCCTACAGACCCTAATTTTAAAAGAACCCCTGCTAATAATATTGACCCAATAGTAGAGGCTTCAACATGAGCTACAGGAAGTCAATAATGAAACCCAAAAATAGGAAATTTAACTATAAAAGAACCAACTAAAAAATATCTAACAAAAAAACTATAAAACAGTCAAGATTTCATTAAAAAAACATAATCAAATACTAAAAACAATATTATTATAGGTCTAGAAAATACAAACGAATAAAATATTATCAAATAAGCTGCTATCAAACGCTCAAATCTATAGCCTAATAAAATGATTACAAACATAATTAATACAAATACTATCTCATAAAGAAAAAAAAATATAAAAAAATTAGAAACATACATCAAATAAATTAATCTAAATAATAATATATTAAGACTTAGTTTAAAAGAAATTTCTACTCTTAATATTATAAAATATAAAATAAATACTAACATAATTATTCAAAAATTAATATCAGTAATTTTTAATAAACCATAATATTCCTCATCTAAAAATAAATTTTTTCACAAAAACTTCAAAATTACAAAATAAATTAAAATCTCAGAATTTATAAATAATAATAAATTTAAAATTGAATTAATATTATTTTTTTTACCACTTCATTTTCCATTCTAATATAAAAAATAAATAATAAAAACCCTAAAATAAATACTAACATAATTATTCAAAAATTAATATCAGTAATTTTTAATAAACCATAATATTCCTCATCGAAACATAAATGTTTTCACATAAACTTCATATTTACAAAATAAATTAAAATCTCAGAATTTATAAATAATAGTAAATTTAAAATTGAATTAATATTATTTTTTTTACCACTTCATTTTCCATTCTAATATAAAAAATAAATAATAAAAACCCTATCCTAGATTCACACACTAAAAAAATTAAACAAGAAAAAAAAAAATTTATAGAAAAATAATCATATTTTATCCCTCATATTAACACTATAATAAATAATAATCTAAGAATTTCTAAAAAAATTAAAATTTTTATATAATCTCCCCATAAATAAAAAAATATAATTATTAACCCTATTATAAATAAACTCAAAAACATAAATTAATATAAAATATTATTTTCAAAATAATAAAAATTAATTAAAAAAAAAATAAAATAAAATATAAAACTCTTATTAAACCACCTAGTCTTCTATAAGGTCATTCAGCTACACACCCCCCTAATCAAGTTAATATAAAAAAAACTACAAAATGAAATACAACAATATAATTTCCTAATAAATCATTAAATTTATAATAATTTTTAGTCATAAGAGGTAATAATATAAGAATAATAATTCTTGTAACTAATCCAATTACTCCCCCTAACTTATTAGGAACCCTACGTAAAATACAATAAGCAAATAAAAAATACCATTCAGGTTTAATATGCTCAGGTGTTTTTATAATATCCACAAATAAAAAATTTTCAGAATCTATAAACATAAAAGGTAATAATAACAATAACAATCTAAAAAATAATATTAAAATTAAAAAAGAAACTAAATCTTTTAATAAATAAAATCAATGAAATTCAACTTTATCATTTATTGACGTAACACCTAATGAATTACTTCTTCCATTAATATGAAGAAAAATTAAATGCACTAATCTTAATACTAAAATAACAAAAGGAAAAATATAATGTAAAATAAAAAAACGAGATAAAGTAGGAGCCCCTACTCTAAAACCTCCTCACACTCACTCTAAAATATCTCCCCCTACATAAGGAATTACATACAACAAATTAGTAATAACAGTTGCTGCTCAAAAAGATATTTGACCTCAAGGTAAAACATACCCCAAAAATGATACTATTATTAAAATTAAAAAAATAACAACCCCAGACTCTCAAACTTCCAACATATAATAAGACTTATATCAAATCCCACGTCCTATATGAATAAAAATTAAAAAAAATAATAAACTAGCTCCTCTTGAATGAATAAAACGAAACTCATAACCATTTTCTACTTCTAGTATTAAATAAGTAACAGAATAAAAAGCATAATTTACAGAATCATTGTAATACAAAGATAATAAAAATCCTCTTAAAACTTGTATTACTATTGAAATTCCTAATATAAAACCAAAATTTCAAAATCACAATAAATTTCTAGGTCTAGCTAAATCTAATAAAAAATAATTAAACATTTGTACTATATAGTTTTTCTTCACTAGTCACATTTAAAAAAACTTAAATATTAAAAACCTTAATACTATAAAAATAAATTTTCAACAATTAGATATTAAAATATCATAACGTCTACGAGGAATAAACCCACGAACAATAATTAAAAAAAGTAGTACTAATCAAAATATATATGAAGTTAAAAACATTACAGAGGTTACCCATCTAAAAAAAACCAATATACCATATTCTGCAATAAATATATATGCAAATAATACACCTATATACTCAATATTATAACCAGAAACTAATTCTCTTTCCCCCTCAGCAAAATCATAAGGACTACGATTAGTTTCTACCAATAAAATTAATAACCAAATAATAAAAATGTCAAATAAATACCATACTGAAAAATTAAAATCCCATAAATTTCAAGATATATGAAAAATTACTATAAGAATTATTACAAAAAATATAATAATTTCATAAGCAATTATTTGAGAAGAACTTCGTAAACCCCCTAGAACACCATAAACATTTTCTCTTCTTCATCCTAATATAAATAATACATACACTACAATTGTTCTAATTATTAAAATAAAAAAAATAGCATTAGTTATAACAATTGAATAAGAATAAAATCACATAGACAAACTTAAAAATCTTATAACAACAATAGAAAAAAAAGGAATAAAAAAATAATAAATTTTTTCAATTACTATTCTTTTCAAAATTAATTTTCCCCCATCAATTACAGGTTGTAATAAACCTATAAACAAAACTTTTGTAGGCCCTTTACGATTTTGAACATACCCTAACACTTTACGCTCTAATAAAGTCAAAAAACATACTCTTAAAAATACTATCAAAACAACAATAATTAATTGAATAAATAAACGAATTAAAAATATTTCCTAAGACACCCAAAGTCTTTATTCTAAAAACTTAATTCTCAGTAAAATAATTAAGACTTGAATTTAACACATTATTCTGCCATACTAAAATCTTACTAATTATAGCATCGATGTAACCCAATTATCTGGCATAATAAACTAATAAACCTATTTGATGTAAATAAATCGTTTAAACTCAACTACTTAGAAAACTTAGGCTTACAAAGCAGACATTATTATTTAACTATCTAAATTTCAATTTCTATTAAATAAATATAAAATAATCTTCAAAATACATAAGCTTGAATAACACATACTAAAAACTCAATAAAATACAAACCAAATAATAACACCCTAATAGAAATTACTAAATAATTAGCCACATTAAAAGAAAAATAACTAAATATTAACAAAACAACATGACCACATCTAATATTAGTAGCTAAACGAACAGCTAAAGTTAATGGACGAATAATAACTCCAATAATTTCTAACACGGGAATAAAAATTTTTAACACTCCCCCAATTCCACTTGGCAAAAAATGACTAATTATCATAATAATATTATTAACTCTTCACAAACATCATAAAAACAACATTAATGATAAAGCAAAAATAAAAACATATCCATAATGTATTCTTAACCCTACTCTATAATAAACATAACTATTATAATTAAAAAATAAAAATAATACCATAACTAATATTAACTTAACTAAAAAAAACCTAATTAACTTAATCTCTATAAAAATATTAAACACAAAAGAATAATTTAACTTATTAGCACTTATTCTAAAATTTATAAATAACAAAAACAAAACAACTAAACTAAAAAGTAAAATCTTTATAAATTAAAAAAACCTCTCTATTAACTCAATTTAACCAAAGTAAAAAAACAATTAGTAATACTATTAATACCATTAAGAAATAATCCTTTAGTACGACAAACTAAAACAAAATCTGCTTATTTCTTATTAGACAATCTCAACTACCAAAAAGTTGAATACTATACTTTATTAACCATTAAAAATATAAGGATCGTAACCTTAAAAAAATGATTTAAAATCTAACGACTGCAAATCGCTAAGAATTATACTTTTTAAACCTAAAATCGCAAAGAACCATTACTTTTAAATAAATTTAATGAATATATAGTAACCAAAAGAGAAAATAAAACTCTAAAAAATAAATATATTCAAAAATACTCCCCAACATCTGCTATTTTTATAAAAGAACCCGAATCATAAAGTATTATAAAAAAAAAACTTAAACTTAAAAATATTAATGAAAAAGAAGTCTTTACATTTCAACATATACAAGAAATGTAAAGAATAAAAACCACTACACCCCTAATATAAACCAAAATAACTAAATATTTAATATAAATTATTCTTGATATATAAATAATTATTACTATTATTACTATAAAAACCAGACATAATACACTAAACAAATACCTTAAATTATATATGATATAAGAAATTAAAAATAAAATTAGTAAAATTGATGAATTCTGAATTCATTTCATTATTCTGACATACTACTTTATTTATAATAAAATAAATTTTTCCTTTCGTACTATTTTATTTATTAAAAAGATAAAATCTAACCTAATTTACATCGGTCTAAACTCAGATCACGTAAAATTTTATAGTCTAACAGACTAAAATTAATTAACTCTACTTAATTAGTATAATGATCCAACATCGAGGTAGTAAACAAAAATATTAATAAGATCTTAATACTTTTATTACCCTGTTAACCCTAAAGTAACTTAACTAAATAATTCAATAATTATTTTATTTACCCCAAATAAAATACAATTTAAAATTTATAGGGTCTTATCGTCTAATAATTAAATTAAAGTATTTTCACTTTAAATATAACTTAAAAAAATTAATAAAAATCCAATAATTTTAAAATTCCTTCATTCCAGTTTCTTATTAAGAAACTAATGATTATGCTACCTTAGTACAGTCAGATTACTGCAGCTATTTAAATCATTGAGCAGAAATCATTTATAATAATATAAACTATGTTTTTAATAAACAGTAAAATTAACACCCAATTATTTTATTAATTTTATTTTAATTTACTTATAAATAACATTTAATAATATAAAAATTTAAAAAAATAATTTTTTTTCTTACATAATTAAAATCAAATACAAATTTCAGATATAACAAACCCTAATTTATCATTAATAATTAATTTTTTTATTTTAATATTTTTCATTAAAAATTTTATCAAAAAATAAAATTAATTAAATCTTTTGTTTTCTACTTTTATCCCTTATACAAAAAGTAATAAATTATCCTTATAATAAACATTCTTACAATTTGCAATTGTACACTTAAAGCTTTTATATTTAGTTTAATATTAATTGATTGGAAATCAAACGTATTAAATACTTTTAAACTATAAATAAACTTTCGCAGTCTCATTAGAAGCATGGAAAGATAAAGGATACTCATATGATCACTCTACATCTCAATATCCTACTATAACACTAACAACTCTACGTTTAGCAATTAAAGCTTCTCAAATAACAAATATAATTATTACTGCCCCAAAAAAAGAAATAAATGCCCCTAACGAAGAAATAATATTTCAAAATAATATACTATCAGCATAATCTGCATAACGTCGAGGTATTCCCGATAACCCTAAAAAATGTTGAGGAAAAAAAGTTATATTTACACCAACAAATAAAATTAAAAACTGAACTAATAATAACTTTCTATGTATAGCTACACCTGTAAATAAAGGAAATCAATAAAAAAACCCAGCTAACAACCTAAATACTGCACCTATTCTTGAAGCATAATGAAAATGAGCTACTACATAATAAGTATCATGTAAAACAATATCTAAACTTGAATTAGACGACACAATACCTGTTAAACCCCCTATAGTGAATAAAAAAATAAACCCTAATACTCATAATATTAAATAATCAAAAGAATACACACCTCCAAATAAAGTCCCAATTCAACTAAAAATCTTAATTCCTGTAGGGACAGCAATTGCTATAGTAGCTGCTGTAAAATAAGCACGAGTATCTACATCTAATCCTACAGTAAATATATGATGTGCTCAAACAATAAAACCTAATAAACCAATTGAAATCATTGCATACACTATACCAAGATATCCAGGAATTTCTCCTTTTTTCGAGATTCTAATTACAATATGAGAAATTATTCCAAACCCAGGAATAATTAAAATATAAACTTCAGGATGTCCAAAAAATCAAAATAAATGCTGATATAAAATTGGATTCCCTCCTCCTCTAGGGTCAAAAAAAGACGAACCAAAATTACGATCTAATAATAACATAGTAATTCCACCAGCTAACACAGGTAAACTTAAAACTAGTAAAAACCTAGTTACTACCATTGCTCATCTAAATAAAGTTAGAAACTCCAAAGATAACACATATCTAATCTTTCCTTTTAAACAAGTCGTAATAAAATTAATCCCACCTAAAATAGATGAAACCCCAGCAACATGTAATCTAAAAATAGCAAAATCAATAGAACCTCCAAAATGATAAACAGAATTAGACAAAGGAGGATAAACTGTTCACCCAGTCCCAGGACCTAATCCAATTAATAAACTTAAACTTATAAACAATAAAGCAACAGGAACTAATCAAAATCTTAAATTATTCAATCGAGGAAAAGCTATATCTATTACATTTATTATTAAAGGTAATAATCAATTACCAAACCCCCCTACAGCTACAGGTATAACAAAAAAAAAAATTATTAAAAAAGCATGAGCTGTTACTATAGAATTATAAATTTGTTCATCTATAATAATCCTTCCAACTATTCCTAATTCGGTACGAATAATTAAACTAATACTCGCACCTAAAAAACCAGATCAAACTCCAATAATAAAATATAAAGTCCCAATATCTTTATGATTTGTAGAAAACAATCAACGCAACACAATTTCTAAAAAACAAAACTATAACAATAATAATTAAATTTATAAAATAAATTAACACTCTTCTCTCTATAATAAAAAATTTTATAAAAAGCAACGTAAAATAATAAAAAAGAATAAAAACATCTAAAAAAAACAAAAAAAAAATTAATTTTAAAGAAAACATTAACCTATATACCATAAAAATTTTTATAAAAAATAAAATAAAAGGAGGAATAACTAAAAATATTAAAACAACTAATATTAAATCAAAATAAGAATCAAAAAATTTTACTATAAAAATAATTCTTAATAAAATAAATAAATAAATAAAAACAACTATTATATAAGAATGACCATAAATTGATAACATAATTATACCTGTATTAGCAATAGAAGAATACACTAACAACAGTCATAAATCAGAAACTAATAATAAATTCAATAAAACAAAAATAATCCTTCTATAAACTAATAATATTAACAATAATAAAAAAGAATCATAAACCAACCATAAAAATCAAAAAACAGGAATCTTTTGAAACACTAACACAAATATATTACCAATATAATCTACTTTTAGTCTTACCACTACTATTCAATAAAAAAAAAGGAAATAATCCTAATTTAACACATAAAATTAAAAAAATTATTTTTAATAAAAATAAAAACACAAAAACAAATAAAAATAAAAATATCACTCTTTGAAAAAAAAAATAAATTACTAAACCAACACTTTTATTTTCTTTTGTTAAAATATATAATAAAAATAATAAAAATATAATCTCTATTAAAAATCAAACTACATAAACATTTACTAATCTTAATAAAACAAAAAAATTACAAAAATATAGAAACAACAATTAAAATACAAAGTATTGAGTAACAATCAATATAAAGATTTTAAAAAGAGATAAAATTCTAATTAGAGATTAGAGAAAACTCTTCATTTAAAGTTTTTTAAATCATGAAATTATCAAAGATTTAACAAATAAAAACAAAATTCTAATAATATTTTTTAAATCCTAAAACTAAATAACCTACTAATACTTTTATTATAAAAATTTAACTAAAATATTAAAACAATTATAAAAATCAAAATTAATTATTAAACATAAAAATTATTCAACAAAAATAAAACTAATAATTAAAAATAAAAATTAACTATTTAAAAATTTATA